GACTTGTATCATTGCTGCCCGGGTATGAGAATTGCAGAAACACCCTAATTCATCTGGGTCTCACTGTGTGTGTGACAGGTGACTTGTATCATTGCTGCCCGGGTATGAGAATTGCAGAAACACCCTGATTCATCTGGGTCTCACTGTGTGTGTGACAGGTGACTTGTATCATTGCTGCCCGGGTATGGGAATTGCAGAAACACCCTGATTCATCTGGGTCTCACTGTGTGTGTGACAGGTGACTTGTATCATTGCTGCCCGGGTATGGGAATTGCAGAAACACCCTGATTCATCTGGGTCTCACCTGATTTTTTAATAAACAACATAATTAACATTGGAAAGTCAACTGGACACCGGTACAGTGTGATATACAAATTTGCTTGCCCGACAGAAAAAAACACTGGACTTGGGCGTCGGGCAATGGGTTATTTCCACCCCTGACCATTGCTGCCTGGGTATGGGAATTGCAGAAACACCCTGATGCATCTGGGTCACACTGTGTGTGTGACAGGTGACTTGTATCATTGCTGCCTGGGTATGGGAATTGCAGAAACACCCTGATACATCTGGGTCTCACTGTGTGTGTGACAGGTGACTTGTATCATTGCTGCCTGGGTATGGGAATTGCAGAAACACCCTGATACATCTGGGTCTCACTGTGTGTGTGACAGGTGACTTGTATCATTGTGTCACGGGTATGGGAATTGTAGAAACACCCTGATTCATCTGGGTTTCACTGTGTGTGTGACAGGTGACTTGTATCATTGCTGCCCGGGTATGGGAATTGCAGAAACACCCTGATTCATCTGGGTTTCACTGTGTGTGTGACAGGTGACTTGTATCATTGCTGCCCGGGTATGGGAATTGCAGAAACACCCTGATTCATCTGGGTCTCACTGTGTGTGTGACAGGTGCTCACATACCTTGTTGTTGAAACTTAAGTGTTGTTAAATCTGTTGTTGAAACTACAGTGTTTATTGTTGTTTAAAGTGTTGGTGAAATTAAGGTGTTGGTGTACATGTTTTAGTTCAACATTGTTGAAACTTGTTCCTGAAATAGGTGAATAGTTAATGTTTTTGTTGAAATAGGGGTTTACTGTTGAAGTTTAAACATAGGTGTTGAAACTGTACTAACTAAATGTTCATGTGAATATGGACTTGAGAATGAAACAAACATAACAAATAATATATATATCCAAAATGCATATAATTTGTGTTGTTTGTTTGCACTGACCTGGGGCTCCTTTCACGCAGCAACCTTTACTAAGGTTAACCTTAACTCCCATTCTTTAACATTGCACTAAGGTTACCTTAGTGACTTACGATCACCTTAGTGCTTCGTGAAAGGAGGCCCAGTGCAATTGGGGAAATATGGACAAGTAACACTGGTTGAATCTAACAACATAGTTGATGAACATATATTAAATTTAGGATTACACTTGGGATTTACAGATTCTAGTACTTTTGTAGTGTAATCCCAAATGTAATATAAGTTACATTTGACCACTTTCTAAATGGCCTTGTGTAATCATAGTTGATGAAGATCATTTCTCACCTGGATCTCCTTTCAGGGATATACATATCAGTTATGGTACTGATCTGCAATGTGTTCTTGATAACATTTTAGATCTTACTGAGATGTTTGGAAAGAGTGAGTGAGTGACTATGGTTTTACACCGCTTTGAGCAGTATTCAAGCAATAACATGGCAGGGGACACCAGAAATGGGTTTCACGCATTTACCCATATGGGGAACCGAACTCTAAGGTCTTCAGTGTGACAAGCAAACGCTTTAACCACTAGGTTATCCCACCACCATGAGATCTTCGGAACAATAACTTTAAAAGACTTTGGATGTTCTTCCAGGCATGGAGATGGCCTAGTGGTTTATTATTAATCAAGCATTCACTATGTTCACAGGTTGGTTTAGAAACCCATTTGTCCGCTTGGGTCGTGGCACACCCTCTTTCATGTCACCTGTGGGGAAGTAAATGGGATATTTCTAAAAGTGTAATAAAATATAACTGCAGCATGTAAAATATAACTGCAGCTTGTACCAATTCAAATATTTTATAAGGACTGCTTCAGTTTGTGATCCACCTTTGTTAAAGTCACGTTCATGTGTTTTCATCCTTCCAGATGCCACGACTGAGTTCACACAAGGGGCATTTCATATCTACATTAGTTTATGTGGATGGTTGTTTTTGTAAACATGCATACTACCTAAACTAGCTAGACCAGTTTGGTTACCTGCAGGTGATGAGCGTGTGAGGTGACTTCTTGGTGATACACTTGTCATTGCTGATGTCAATACAGGTGTCAATATATATGTTGCATCTCTGTATGTCCATTTCGCTGCGAATAGCTGCAAAATTGCTGATGTGGCGTAAGCAATTTTCACTCACTCACTCACTCACTGTATGTCCATTACCTTTTTTCAGTCAGGGGTTTGGTCTATTTATCTCTTTTTATCTCAATGTATTATTTTTCTCTGTGAAATTTTCCAAAATAAACATGTTTTATAAGTGGTGTTTGTATTACCTTTTTGAATGGCCTACAGAAGTATTACTGTTGATACTATCTTAAATCTGCTTACCCACTTTCATCATCTCAAATGTTGCAATTTGTCTTTGGCATGATTTTTGGTGTTTAAGGTAACTTCCTTAAAGGTCACATGCAACGTAAAACACAACTTTACAGATTCTGATACCTTTCGGTATGGACTTATCGAAACAAAGCGTCAAAAATGCAAATTCAACTTATACAGTTGAAAAATAACGCGATGAAAAAAAACGCGTGTAATCGGAGTTCAAACGTTTCACTAATTTTCCCCAGACTTTTCTGGGAATAATGGTTTCAACAGCTGACTGGCGCTTTCGATAGCACGTCGCGCGCAGTGAAATAGGTTCGCGCTACTTGTTCTTCTTACCGAGTCATTTTCTCAGTTTGATATTTAAAAGCAATGTCATTATTTAGCGTTGACAGAATTTCTAACTGTGATATAGATATCTCGCTGTCACAGACAAAACTCAATGTCTTGTTTTATTGACACCTGTGTGTCTGCCTGCCTGTCTGCTAATGACAATATTCAATACACAACTGCTATCACTGACCACATGCAATTTGAACAAATCAGGCTATACACCATAAACAAAACGCATTGATTTATGGCACGAGTTCGGTCTTTGTCACATTATGTAATTACACAGACAGGCAGGTGTGATACTTGAACACATGACATGTTATGATGTCTGTTGATTGCAAAATGTTATACACAAAAATTGAGCATGTATTTACAAAACCCAACTTTCTATATATACACACACAATCTGCTAATGAACCAGCCGTTACACTTGAGTGCACACCCACCAGCTCTGACTGGGTTCGGTATCCCGGCTGCTTCGTTTCGAGGGAGGTAAACCCAAGTACAAAAAATTGCACTTTTGATTTGCGATTATACGCTTATAATTTTGTTTGTTTGTTTTTTCATAATCAGCAATGCATATTATATGTCATGAATAAGTGATAATTGTGTTTTAATTATGTTTGATTTTTTGGTTGCATGTGACCTTTAAGTTTCATTTAGAAGCTGGATTGATGGAGAGGAACACTTTTTATGGATAGACAACTTCTTTATTGCAAGAGATCTGATGTTTGGGTTATCACTTGCTTGATATCAGGGTTAGCATCTTCACCAAAACGTTGCATATACTGCAGCAAAGAAGTTTTCTGTCCATAAAAAGTTGTCCTTGTTCAATGTTTAAAGTAGTTCAAAAATAAAGTTCATTTTGTCTGTTCACAGTAAAGTAGAGTAAGCATTTGACATGGTTTACCGGGAAGCTTTTTGAATGCAAAACAATTTTCAAATTTACAATATCCCAGTTATAATGATGTTTTTACCTTGCATTTTATGGGTTACATGTACTGAATGTTACTTGGGTGTGGGGTAGCCCAGTGGATAAAACATTTGCTTGTCCGACCAAGTGCTTGGTTTAATTGCTCACATGCATGGCAATAGTGCATGAAGCCCATTTCTTGTGTGCCTTTGCTGTCAAAGCAGCATGAAATGTATCCTCTCATTCATGACTGACTGTCACTGGATGAGCCTGGCCATGGCATATCTGTTGTCATGACAGTAATTTTTATTATCAGCCTACAGAGCATTTGCATGAAAATAATAGAGAAGTGTATCCTGAGATCTGAATTATTCTGCTTGTTTGTGTGTTTGTGCGTTGGTGATTAATGGCCCATGCTGCAATGTTCAGCTCTATAGTGTGATAGCCATCATCACACAACCCAGTGACTGATATCATGAGCAGCAATCTACACCCGATTATGAACCTTGATTCTAACCACCAGTTGAGTCTCCTATTATCACCCTGCCATATAGCTGGAATATTGCTAGTGTTGGGAATCGGAAACCAAATCAACTATCGATCATCGGAGGATTGTGGTGAAGAATTATCGATTATAATCGAAATGTATACATTTTTAATGTAATCACCAATATTAAGGGGTTTTCCCCAGTTTTTGTCTAATTAATGGGGTTTTTTATAACTAATTCTGTCATGCAATGAAATGCACTCAGTCATATTACTGGAACAAGTCCAGATTTAGTACCCAGGCACTCGACCCTAATTGCCTGTCCCCAACCCTCTGTTTCCCAGCCCAATCCACATACCCACCCCTATTGCCCTACGCTGTCAAGGTACCCGGCCCTCTGTTTCCAAACCCAACCCATGTGCCCACCCCTATTGCCCTACTCTGTCCAGGTACCCAACCCTCTGTTTCCCAGCCCAACCCACGTACCCACCCCTATTGCCCTACCCTGTCCAGGTATCCGGCCCTCTGTTTCCCAGCCAACCCATGTACCCACCCCTATTGCCGTACCCTGTCCAGGTACCTGCTGTAGGTCTCATAGATAGGTACAAAGTTGGGTACAAAATGTATGATTGAATCTACCAGGCCAATCGTGTTGATAGAATCTCTTCCTCCTTTTCAGATATAGCAGTCTACAAGAAAGAGAAACATGTTACCATCAGGACTCATGAGCGTCCTTCTGGTGGCAACATTCACCACAGTTGTACAGGGGTAAGTCAACATTCACCACAGTTGTACAGGGGTGAGTCAACATTCACCACAGTTGTACAGGGTAAGTCAACATTCACCACAGTTGTACAGGGGTAAGTCAACATTCACCACAGTTGTACAGGGGTAAGTCAACATTCACCACAGTTGTACAGGAGTAAGTCAACATTCACCACAGTTGTACAGGGGTAAGTCAACATTCACCACAGTTGTACAGGGGTAAGTCAACATTCACCACAGTTGTACAGGGGTAAGTCAACATTCACCACAGTTGTGCAGTAGTAAGTCAACATTCACCACAGTTACACAGGGTTAAGTCAACATTCACCACAGTTACACAGGGTTAAGTCAACATTCACCACAGTTGTACAGGGGTAAGTCAACATTCACCACAGTTGTACAGGGGTAAGTCAACATTCACCACAGTTGTACAGGGGTAAGTCAACATTCACCACAGTTCTACAGGGGTAAGTCAACATTCACCACAGTTGTACAGGGGTAAGTCAACATTCACCACAGTTGTACAGGGGTAAGTCAACATTCACCCCAGTTGTACAGGGGTAAGTCAACATTCACCACAGTTGTACAGGAGTAAGTCAACATTCACCACAGTTGTACAGGGGTAAGTCAACATTCACCACAGTTGTACAGGGTAAGTCAACATTCACCACAGTTGTACAGGGGTAAGTGAACATTCACCACAGTTGTACAGGGGTAAGTCAACATTCACCACAGTTGTACAGGGGTAAGTCAACATTCACCACAGTTGTACAGGAGTAAGTCAACATTCACCACAGTTGTACAGGGGTAAGTCAACATTCACCACAGTTGTACAGGGGTAAGCCAACATTCACCACAGTTGTACAGGGTAAGCCAACATTCACCACAGTTGTACAGGGGTAAGTCAACATTCACCACAGTTGTACAGGGTAAGTCAACATTCACCACAGTTGTACAGGAGTAAGTCAACATTCACCACAGTTGTACAGGGGTAAGTCAACATTCACCACAGTTGTAAAGGGGTAAGTCAACATTCACCACAGTTGTACAGGAGTAAGTCAACATTCACCACAGTTGTACAGGAGTAAGTCAACATTCACCACAGTTGTACAGGGGTAAGTCAACATTCACCACAGTTGTACAGGGGTAAGTCAACATTCACCACAGTTGTACAGGGGTAAGTCAACATTCACCACAGTTGTACAGGGGTAAGTCAACATTCACCACAGTTGTACAGGGGTAAGTCAACATTCACCACAGTTGTACAGGGGTAAGTCAACATTCACCACAGTTGTACAGGGTAAGTCAACATTCACCACAGTTGTACAGGGGTAAGTCAATATTCACCACAGTTGTACAGGGGTAAGTCAACATTCACCACAGTTGTACAGTGGTAAGTCAACATTCACCACAGTTGTACAGGAGTAAGTCAACATTCACCACAGTTGTACAGGGGTAAGTCAACATTCACCACAGTTGTACAGGGGTAAGTCAACATTCACCACAGTTGTACAGGAGTAAGTCAACATTCACCACAGTTGTACAGGAGTAAGTCAACATTCACCACAGTTGTACAGGAGTAAGTCAACATTCACTGCAGTTGTACAGGGGTAAGTCAACATTCACTGCAGTTGTACAGGGGTAAGTCAACATTCACCACAGTTGTACAGGGGTAAGTCAACATTCACCATAGTTGTACAGGGGTAAGTCAACATTCACCACAGTTGTACAGGAGTAAGTCAACATTCACCACAGTTGTACAGGAGTAAGTCAACATTCACCACAGTTACACAGGGGTAAGTCAACATTCACCACAGTTGTACAGGGGTAAGTCAACATTCACCACAGTTGTACAGGGGTAAGTCAACATTCACCACAGTTGTGCAGTAGTAAGTCAACATTCACCACAGTTACACAGGGTTAAGTCAACATTCACCACAGTTGTACAGGGGTAAGTCAACATTCACCACAGTTGTACAGGGGTAAGTCAACATTCACCACAGTTGTACAGGAGTAAGTCAGCATTCACCCTAGTTGTACAGGAGTAAGTCAACATTCACCACAGTTGTACAGGGGTAAGTCAACATTCACCACAGTTGTACAGTAGTAAGTCAACATTCACCACAGTTGTACAGGGGTAAGTCAACATTCACCACAGTTGTACAGGGGTAAGTCAACATTTACCACAGTTGTACAGGGGTAAGTCAACATTCACCACAGTTGTACAGGGGTAAGTCAACATTCACCACAGTTGTACAGGGGTAAGTCAACATTCACCACAGTTTTACAGGAGTAAGTCAACATTCACCCGAGTTGTACAGGGGTAAGTCAACATTCACCACAGTTGTACAGGGGTAAGGCAACATTCACCACAGTTGTACAGGGGTAAGTCAACATTCACCACAGTTGTACAGGGGTAAGTCAACATTCACCACAGTTGTAGAGTAGTAAGTCAACATTCACCACAGTTACACAGGGTTAAGTCAACATTCACCACAGTTGTACAGTGGTAATTCAACATTCACCACAGTTGTACAGGGGTAAGTCAACATTCACCACAGTTGTACAGGGGTAAGTCAACATTCACCACAGTTGTACAGGGGTAAGTCAACATTCACCACAGTTGTACAGGGGTAAGTCAACATTCACCACAGTTGTACAGGGGTAAGTCAACATTCACCACAGTTGTACAGGGGTAAGTCAACATTCACTGCAGTTTTACAGGGTTAAGTCAACATTCACTGCAGTTGTACAGTGGTAAGTCAACATTCACCACAGTTGTACAGGGGTAAGTCAACATTCACCATAGTTGTACAGGGGTAAGTCAACATTCACCACAGTTACACAGGGGTAAGTCAACATTCACCACAGTTCTACAGGAGTAAGTCAACATTCACCACAGTTGTAAAGGGGTAAGTCAACATTCACCACAGTTGTACAGGGGTAAGTCAACATTCACCACAGTTGTACAGGGGTAAGTCAACATTCACCACAGTTGTACAGGGGTAAGTCAACATTCACCACAGTTGTAGAGTAGTAAGTCAACATTCACCACAGTTACACAGGGTTAAGTCAACATTCACCACAGTTGTACAGTGGTAAGTCAACATTCACCACAGTTGTACAGGGGTAAGTCAACATTCACCACAGTTGTACAGGGGTAAGTCAACATTCACCACAGTTGTACAGGGGTAAGACAACATTCACCACAGTTGTACAGGGGTAAGTCAACATTCACCACAGTTGTACAGGGGTAAGTCAACATTCACTGCAGTTTTACAGGGTTAAGTCAACATTCACTGCAGTTGTACAGGGGTAAGTCAACATTCACCACAGTTGTACAGGGGTAAGTCAACATTCACCATAGTTGTACAGGGGTAAGTCAACATTCACCACAGTTGTACAGGGGTAAGTCAACATTCACCACAGTTACACAGGGTTAAGTCAACATTCACCACAGTTGTACAGGGGTAAGGCAACATTCACCACAGTTGTACAGGGGTAAGTGAACATTCACCACAGTTGTACAGGGGTAAGTCAACATTCACCACAGTTGTACAGGGGTAAGTCAACATTCACCCCAGTTGTACAGGGGTAAGTCAACATTCACCATAGTTGTACAGGAGTAAGTCAACATTCACCACAGTTTGTACAGGGGTAAGTCAACATTCACCATAGTTGTACAGGAGTAAGTCAACATTCAAGTTCTCTATTGCCTGTGCATGTAGTTGATATGTATATACTTTTTTATCCCCCGCAACCCGTTTTGCGGGGGGTATTAAAATGGACTCTGTCCGTGCGTCCGTCCGTCTGTGCACATTTGTCTTTTCCGGAGCAGAACTCTAAAAGCATTCAATATTTCTTCACCAAACTTGGCACATACATTGATCTGGTGGTGTACTGGGGCCTTTTGGCAGTTTTGGAATTCTGAATACAATATTTTTGGCGTTTCCATGGCAACAAGTTCGACTTAGACTGAAATTGGTGGTAGTGCTCTTTTCCAGAGCAGAACTCTAAAAGCCTTCAATATTTCTTCACCAAACTTGGCACATACTTTGATCTGGTTGTGTACTGGTTCCTTTTGGCAGTTTTGGAATTCTGAATAAAATATTTTTGGCGTTTCCATGGCAACAAGTTTGACTTAGACTGAAATTGGTGGTTGTGTTCTTTTCCGGTGCAGAACTCTAAAACCGTTCACTATTTCTTCACCAAACTTGGCACATAGATTGGTCTGGTGGTGTACTGGTGCTTTTTGGCAGTTTTGGAATTCTGAATAAAATATTTTTTGGGTTTCCATGGCAACAATTTCGACTTAGACTGAAATTGGTGGTAGTGCTCTTTTCCAGAGCAGAACTCTAAAACCGTTCACTATTTCTTCACCAAACTTGGCACATAGATTGGTCTGGTTGTGTAATGGTGCCTTTTGGTAGTTTTGGAATTCTGAATAAAATATTTTTGGCGTTTCCATGTCAACAAGTTTGACTGAGACTGAAATTTGTGATAGTGCTCCTTTCAATGCTCTCCTTCCACTTTTCTATATACACACCTAAATATTTGACATAATCATAACTCGTAGACATAATCATGAAGAGTATTTTGCCATTGCAGGGGATATTGATGACTTTGTCTTCTTGTTATTCTCATTTTGTAATTAAACATAATTTGATTATATTATGACATATTTTTTTACTTTTTGTGCTGTAGAAATTAGCTTGTCTACTAATTATTTCTTGGACACTTGTATGAAACAAATACCGATCCACAATAAAGTACTGACTTGTTCCCTATGGTGTTTGTATTGCAGGAACTATTTCATTGTGAGCCCCAGTGTATTCCGACCAAATGAAGACTTTAAGGTTGAAATCACCTACACTGGATCTGGAACAGCATCCGCAAAGGCTACTATTGGCATCATGGGTGGTGCTGAGGTTGCAACAAGCACAGAGCAAACTCTGACCAATGGTAAGTGTCATAGCAACAGCCGTTTTGCAAACTGCTACAATAAACATGATAAACAAATTTTCATCTGGGAAGATGGTGACGGACTGTCACTTTGCATCTCAATCTCTGTTTGTATTCAGATTTTGGTTAATGATAAATTCAGATGTACATTGGACAGATTTGTTGAATGTGTTTTGATGATAGTTCTGTGTTGCTGTGTACACTATGTAAGGCCTAGACCAAGCAAGATGAGCCTACAACATATCGCAATCAATGGGGAATGGATGATTTCAGTGGATGCTCGGAATGAAAACAGCTGATCGAGATGGGAAGTAAACTTGTCAACTGCTGAAACTAATCTACAAATGAACTGTTTGGAACTAATCATATATATATAGTTTTATCATGTTTTCAAAAATACAAAAACACTAATCTGGACCAGATGATCTTGGTAACAAATGTCCAAAGTGATGTGTACATGATAATAACCCCAACCTTGTTTTAACTGCATGATCCTTTTAGCTCCCTCAGCCATTGAATGAGGATCTAGTTAAACCCAGAATTCCCAAGCTGTTTTCATTTGTTGGAAGGTAATCAGAAATAATTATCCTATAATGATTTTAATCAGTAATTGATTATCGCAATTATAAGAGAAGTTATTTGTTTTCAGGTCAAGGTCTGCTGGTTGTGCCGGTGAGTAATGTTGCCTTATACATCTTACACTCCACAGTATATAACCATGGGGGCAGTGGGGTAGCCTAGTGGTTAAAGCGTTGGCTCGTCCCCCCGAAGACCCGGGTTCGAATCCCCACATGGGTACAATGTGTGAAGCCCATTTCTGGTGTCCCCCGCCGTGATGTTGCTGGAATATTGCTAAAAGCAGCGTAAAACCAAACTCAGTCAGTCAGTATATAACCATGATAAAGTTTTTGAACATCAAAACAGTTTATAAGTAAACCCATTGTTTATATTTTATGAATGCTTCATAGCATCGCCCTAATCATACAGAAGTAACCTCATTAGAATAAACGTCCTCTGCAGTCCTTCAAGTAACGTACATGGTGGCACACTTGCCAACACAAATGATTTTTCCCAACCCACCCACCCAATAGCTTTATTGGTGCTATTTACTTTCATTGTCGATTGGTACTTACCTAATCTAAATCTATTGGAGTTGGGCAGTATTTCTATGTGAGCCATGGCATGCTGGTGCCTCATGGGTGCAGACTGTGGCATTGTTGGTTACAGTTACAGTTCCTCAGGGGGAGTGGGGTAGCCTAGTGGTTAAAGCGTTGGCTCGTCACGCCGAAGACCCGGGTTCGAATCCCCACATGGGTACAATGTGTGAAGCCCATTTCTGGTGTCCCCCGCCGTGATGTTGCTGGAATATTGCTAAAAGCGGCGTAAAATGAAAACTCAGTCAGTCAGTACAGTTCGTCACAAAAGTCAGTGATGATGTAGATTACTGTCACAATGTAGGCCATAGTATTTCCAGGTTGGCTTGTGTTTGGTGAAATTGTGTAGGATAGTATGCAGTGTATTTGAAATGATTGTGTGCCAGGCTGGGAATGTTATATACTGTGTTGGATATAGAACATGATGTCGGGAGTGTGACATACAGTGATATGCTGTATGGAATGAAAAGGTGATTCAGTCCGAGCTAGACGTCAAGTTCCTCATCACCATGATTATCATCTTAACTTGCTCGCTCTAACCATCCATGAATATAAAATGTTTGGTTTATAAGCCTGTGTTCCCTGAGAAGCAAGCCACGGAGATTGTGGCATAATCATAACAATAATATGAATGACATTACGTAAACTAAAGTATTATAGTTTAGTCACGCCGAAGACCCGGGTTTGAATCCCCACATGGGTACAATGTGCGAAGCCCATTTCTGGTGTCCCCAGCTGTGATGTTGCTGGAATATTGCTAAAAGCGGGGTAAAACCATACTCACTCACTCACTCACTCACTCTTTTGAAGATTTACCTGTGAAGAGCTGAGTTAGAATTGGTATTACGGTGTAAGAATCTGCATCAAAACATCGCTCTATGCAATAAGCAAGAAGTTGTCATCCATAAAGTTGTATGTTTCATTTTTGGCTCACCAACTTCTAGAATGCCCATTTAACAATTAGAATTGGTCTTCAGCAACCCATGCTTGTCATAAGAGGCGACTAGCAGGATCGGGTGGTCAAGACTCGCTGACTGGGTTGACATGTGTCATCGTATCCCAATTGGATTGATCAATGCTCATGGTTTTGATCACTGAATTATCTGGTGAAGTCTTGATTATTTACAGACCACCGCCATATAGCTGGAATATATCTGTTAAACAACATACCAACCAATGAAATCTTTTGAAGATTAACAGATTTAGGCATCAGTTTTCAGAGAATGTCCAACTTAATGGCAAGTCTGGCATCTCAGAAACTTACTTGACATTTCAGACGAAGCTACATTATATTTTTTATACATAGAAGTGATTTATATGCCCTCCCTTTGTTCCCCTAGATATCACCAAATGTGGAGAAGGGCTCCTACAAACTGACAGTAGTGGGCAAGGTGAATGGACAAGAAGCGTTCCGGAATTCCACTGAAGTACGCTTGGTGATGGAGAACAGCTTCGTTTTCATTCAGCTTGACAAGAGTATGTACAAGCCTCTGCAGACAGGTGAGATACAGACGTGTTTAGCACAGATAGTGGACAATGCACCTTGGAAGGTAGTGGGTTGATAGTGGACTATGCACCTTGGAAGGTAGTGGGTCGATAGTGGACTATGCACCTTGGAAGGTAGTAGGTCGATAGTGGACTATGCACTTGGTAGGTAGTGAGTCGATAGTGGACTATGCACCTTGGTAGGTAGTGGGTCGATAGTGGACTATGCACTTTGGTAGGTAGTGGGTGATAGTGGACTATGCACTTTGGTAGGTAGTGGGTCGATAGTGGACTGTGCACTTTGGTAGGTAGTGGGTCGATAGTGGACTATGCACTTTGGTAGGTAGTGGGTCGATAGTGGACTGTGCACTTTGGTAGGTAGTGGGTCGATAGTGGACTGTGCACTTTGGTAGGTAGTGGGTCGATAGTGGACTGTGCACTTTGGTAGGTAGTGGGTCGATAGTGGACTATGCACTTTGGTAGGTAGTGGGGATAGTGGACTGATAGTGGACTGTGCACTTTGGTAGGTAGTGGGTAGTGGGTCGATAGTGGACTGTGCACTTTGGTAGGTAGTGGATGATAGTGGACTATGATAGTGGACTATGCACTTTGGTAGGTAGTGGGTCGATAGTGGACTGTGCAGTTTGGTAGGTAGTGGGTTGATAGTGGACTATGCACTTTGGTAGGTAGTGGGTCGATAGTGGACTGTGCAGTTTGGTAGTTAGTGGGTCGATAGTGGACTGTGCACCTTGGAAGGTAGTGGGTCGATAGTGGACTATGCACTTTGGTAGGTAGTGGGTCGATAGTGGACTATGCACTTTGGTAGGTAGTGGGTCGATAGTGGACTATGCACTTTGGTAGGTAGTGGGTCGATAGTGGACTATGCACTTTGGTAGGTAGTGGGTCGATAGTGGACTATGCACTTTGGTAGGTAGTGGGTCGATAGTGGACTATGCACCTTGGAAGGTAGTGGGTCGATAGTGGACTGTGCACCTTGGAAGGTAGTGGGTCGATAGTGGGCCAGGACATGTGTCAGTGTAGGTCTGTTTAAATGTTTTGATAGCCTTTGATTTGACCTGTGAATATGTATCACTGTAACATTTCTGTGTCTGATGAAATTCATCAGCCAGTCCATACTGTCAGAATGTATGTTGTAGTCTAACTTACTTTGTGAACTATTTTTCAGTACGTTTTCGAGTTTTGTCCTTGGACCAGGAATTGAAGCCAGTGGCCCAAACAGTTAGAACAGACATATCAATTGTTGTAAGTAAATAGTTATGCTGCTCAAACCCATAATGCCTTGCATTTGCTGCCTGATGGACGTAACAGCCTGACTGTTAGCTCAGGGTAACTGTTTGATGATGGGAATATTTACATTTAAGTGACAGCTTCATCTGTTCATGAAACACATGACAAAACAGGACAATATGAGTTATTTTTACAGTTTGTGATAGCAACTATATGAGAAAACCTATGCCAAATTTCTTCTTTGCAAATCTTCAGTTTCTTAAATTTAGAAAGCTTTCATCTCAAAACCCCTTAACAGTAAAATGCTTAGCAAAATATTTTGTTCTTGCCATGAATAGAAGCAAGTTCTTACACTTGAGATATATGTTCTATTTGATGTTCCATTGATGTCCAGTACCCTTCAGTCTGCAGCTAACTGCCAGTGATATTCTGTTTGGCTTAACAGGCTAAGAATCCATGTTCTAAAACTATAATCTGCTTGTCCCCAGAAGTTGTGAACATGGAACTGTGGAGATATTTGCCCTGGCCGCTAGCCTGAGGTGTGTACTGTTTTGTTCCAGGATGGCAATAACAACAAGCTGGAGGAGTGGCTGGGCGTGGAGAGCATGGCAGGTCAGGTTGCTGACATATGCACACACATTGCATGTGATACATTCCCCCTAGTACAGTGGGTGCAGGGAAACTGAGTGTATGAAACATTCCTGTGATACACACAAGCCCAGGTTCAAATCATAAATGGGTCTTCTGTCTATCTATTGCTGTGATACACACAAGTCCAGGTTCAAATCATACATGGGTGTTCTGTCTATCTATTGCTGTGATACACACAAGCCCAGGTTCAAATCATACATGGGTCTTCTGTCTATCTATTGCTGTGATACACACAAGCCCAGGTTCAAATCATACATGGGTCTTCTGTCTATCTATTGCTGTGATACACACAAGCCCAGGTTCAAATCATACATGGGTGTTCTGTCTATCTATTGCTATGATATTGCAGGAATATTGATAAATGCAACGATGTAACCACCCTCACTCACTCATATATTACCAGAGACATTGGGTAGCCTGGTGGCTAAATGGTTTGCTCATCACACTGAAGATGTGGGTTCTATTCCAAACATGGTTACAATGCCTGAAACCCCTTCTGGTGTGACCGCCTCTGTGGTGTAGTTGTTGAGCATCCACCGGAGAATTGTTGGTCAGTTCCATCCCCTGGCGTCATACCAAAAGACTTTGTTGGTCCCTGCCTGGTGCTCAGCATTAATGGGTACAACGAAGGACTGGTCTGCTCGGAGTCAGTATAATGTGTCTAAGTGGGGTATTCATGCTTCACTGCGGCATGGTATTTCAGTGGGCTAGCACTATAATTACATCCACACACATCCACAGCTTCACGGCGAATTAATCTTAAGTGCGATGTTAAACCCCATTTCACCCTACCTCACCTTTTTGGTGTCCCCCAGCCATGATTTTGCTGGAATATTGCTAAAAGTGATGTAAAAATTTTATAATCAGCCTCATCTACTCTATACACCAAAATCAGTACAATGTGTTAAGCCTGTTTCTGGTGTCCCCCGCCATGATATTGCTGGAATATTTGCTAAGGTGGCGAAAATCTAAACTCACTCACTATACAGCAAAACGTTTTTCTTTGTAGCATTAAGTAGACTGCGTGTAGAATCTTGCACCTAGAATTATACAACATAAATAGTTACTGTATGGTATATATACAAGAGGATAACTTTTACGAGTGACAATTAATATAAAAATCACAACATTTGTGCAAATTTTGAACCCTGACAGGCACTATCGTCAATGCCACACCACCACAGATCTGACATTACGCTGCATGAATCTGTTCCAGGTGTTATCGAGAATTCCTATCAGCTCTCTGATCAGCCACCACTTGGAAAATGGAAAATTACTGCTAAGCATAAGGTGTAGTATTTTTACTCTCTCAACATATTTTACTTCCTTCCTTCAGACTTATATAACACATGCTTTGAATTATTCTATATAGTGTCCACAGATATTGTGCTTTCATGAAGATATCTGGCAAAACATGGACTTCAACCCCCCACCTCCCCGACATGACAAGCCCAAAATTAAATGACCAGTCCCTCACAGTATCAAAGGCACCTTTATTGATATTTAGCTACATTTCATTCTCTTTACAACATTATTGTTTCAATTGTCTCACTGTTTGATTCTAGTTTGGAGAAGACACAAAGGAATTTACAGTGGAGAAATATGGTAAGTCATTTATATTTTCAAAAACTTCTGATATAGAAATGATAAGAAAACCTTAGTTTCTGTGTTTGTATATTTACTGTAATGTAAGGATTCCATTTGAGCAGATGCATGCTCTCCAATCTATGCACACAGTCTCACTAAATTACAATCAAACAATGTTGGAACAGGTTTTCTGAACAGTCTTTCCAATCCTGTCACTTTTGATTTCATTTTCCGATCCTAGCTGTCACTTTTGATTTCATTTTCATTTCATTTGTTCTTCATATTTTGCCAACAGAGGATTCCTTAGTACACAGTTCTTGTCTCTCTCTAGGTTTCCAAGGGGAAGCATTTCATCCTAGTGGTTAAAGTGCTCCCTCGTCACGCTGAAGGCCCGGGTTTGATTCCCCACATGGGTACCATGTGTGAAGCCTATTTCTGGTGTCCCCTGCCATGATATTGCTGGAATATTGCTAAAAGCGGCGTAAAACCCAACTCACTCACTCACTCATTACTCCATGGCTGTGAACCTCTCTGACACCTTATGTAATTCGATTCTCTGGAATATGTGGAATCTCACCCTATCCACCCATTGTGTTACTCCCCGAATCACCCCGTTTCATTGATGCCCTTGATCATGTCCTCCACTGAGCCCTGTGATTGATGCTTGCAGTGTTGCCCAAGTTTGAGGTGACTGCTGAGGCTCTTCCAGACTACATCGTTGATGGGGAAAAAGAGTTCAACATCAAGGTCACATCAAAGTGAGTCTTCCAGCAACACTTCTACAGGAATATGAGTAGACATAAAGAAATAAATGGATTCTCTGATTTTCTAAACATTTTTCAGGCAATTCTTATGTCTGTGACATTTAATATTTAGTTTCAGATATTTGCCATCTAAGTAAAAACAATGTTTCTCATTGGTATTCATTCATCTTACATTTCAGATACACATATGGCAAGCCTGTGAAAGGAAAGGCCAAATTCATCTTTGGTAATGGAGAGGTCGTCAAGGAAACCATGGTAAGTATTAAAAATTCGCTCTTTTAAAAAGAAAGGCAGAACTTGGACTTATTAAATCAGATTATTTGCTCTGATACTATACCAAACTGTGCATAATTTGTAGGACTCAACTCAAAAGTACTAGAATTTGCTCTTTAAATGAAAGTGTAATCCCAAATATGACGTGTTACATTTGATCACTTTCTAAAAGACTCATGGTTTCATGGTTTTCAATCATGGGAAATGTGCCATTTTACTGTGCTAGGTATGTTGTCTAGATAAGCAGTTGTCATACTCCCATTTCAGTGGAAGCCATGGTGGCTGAGTGAGTTATGTCACCAACTTGGTGTGCTTGACTTGGTGTGCTTCACTTGGTGTGCTTCACTTGGTGTGCTTCACTTGGTGTGCTATTTCGATTAGGTGCCCCACTCTGTCAGTGTGGGTTCGAATCCTGGATGAGACTCAGCCCCAAAAGTGATAGAGCTTTTACTTAGTGAAGAAAGTGGATAAAATGCGACAGGTTACATTTAAATTTGATCAGTCTTTGAAAGGCATTTAGAAGTGAACGAATTATGTTTACCTATTTCTATGTCTTGAAATATGTTTGGGTGAAATATTAAGTCATAATATGCGTCGACTTATCAATATTCCCAGGGATTAAGTATGTGCATTCCCTGTGTGAGAAGTAACACTCATCAGGCCAGGACATCAATTCAGACAATCCCAGGAAATCAGCATTGGTGGAAGATAAGCCACACCTGCATGCAGAAATATACATTACTATTATTACAATGTCACATAGTAACCACAAATCTTGACAGAGCTACAACCTTTGTTTGTGCCAGGATCCTTGGTTTCAATCACATATTTGCCTTGATGAATTCATTTGTATGTTGCCATCATACATTGCTTATGAGTTTCACCAAAGAGGTCTATGTCTTACATGCTCACTCACTCACTCACTCACTCTTACTCACTCACTCACTCACTCACTCACTCCCTCACTCACTCACTCACTCACTCACTCACTCACTCACTCACTCACTCTACATGGTCTGTGCTTCAGTTGAACACTGGTGAAGACGGGGTGCATACTGAGAAGATAATGATGAGAGATGTATCGACAGCCAAGACATGGAATGGCCTGAAGGTGGCAGTTAATGTCACAGAAGAACCGGCACAGGTGACCGAGACGTCCAACCAGCTGAACATCCCCGTGTACTCACAGCGTGTCAAGCTTGAGTTCCTCCCTACCTCGTCCCAGGTGTACAGATCCGGTCTGCCTGTCCAACTCCGGGTATGCTCACACCCTTTGAATGGATTATGTATTAGACACAATTATACTGGCGTAAATAATAATATGCTTCATTAAATAACTTTCAAAAATTTTGCATTGACTTATGATTGCATCATCATCTATGAAATGCTCCTTCAAAATGACCAATGAATTCCTTGAACAATATCAACTATAATGACAGTATCATCCGATTTGTTTAGAGTTTCTATTGAATGGTTTTACACTATTTCGACCCGTGAAGATCCGGGGTAGAATAGGTCTTCAGCAACCCATGCTTGCCCAACAGGCGACTAACGGGATTCAGGTGGTTCAGGCTCGCTGACTTGGTTGACACATGTCATTGGTTCCCAGTTGTGCAGATTGATGCTCATGCTGTTGATCACTGGATTGTCTGGTCCAGACTCGATTATTTACAGACCACCGCCATATAGCTTGAATATTGCTGAGTGTGGCATAAAACTAAACTCCCTCACTCACTCATTTGACACTATTTCAAGGTTCATACATGTATACTGATGGAAATGAACAAACATTTGTTGAATGTACAGGTGTTCCTATATTCTTTTCCAGGCTTTGTAATGCACTTTTATATTTATATTTTGTACTTTCTTGTGTTCCTTTCATTTCCAATCTAATGTTTCATAGTCCATGCCTGGATTTATCTAGTCCCTCTCAGAGAACAATATCAGCTGTAGATTTATGCAAAACGTTATTTGAAGATGAGTGTTTTATCATTTGGTTATTCTAGGATTACTGCATTATTATCAAGGTTAATATGACTCTAAACCTCTGGGTGCCTTTGTACAAAGCGATCTTAGTGCTAAGGTGACCGTAACTCCCATACCTTAACTTAGACTTATCTTTCAGCACCAAGGTTGTTTTGTACAACGGCACCCAGGTTGATCATTACATTATGTTTGAAAATTCTGGACAAAAACACTCTTTCAATAGTATTTATTCTATTGGAGTATAGGCATTGTGTGTTGACAAATGTGAAATTATGGCTTTGTGCCATAGTTTCCAATGCCTTTAAAGGTCGGGATTCAAACCTATACACAAATGGGGTGCGCGGATTGGTGGGTGTATGTGTGTGTGTGCCACATTGCCTTGTCAAAGCTGTCTTTCAATAAAGAACAAAGCAGTATCAAAGTACAAATATCACAAAATCAACTTACCTGTTCATGATGATATTAAGCCATAGTATAAAGAAGTATGTTATGAAGACTCCCTTCAAAAAGTATTGATGCTGGCAGCCTGCATGGCATACATTTTGAAAATATAATTCATTTTTTAAACCTTATTTGAATTTCCCACTGTCAGTAAAAATTACCCCCTCTCCACTCCCCTCATCCCCTGCTGTTCAGGGTTAGGGTTGTAGTAGCCCTTGATGCTGACACCAACATGATAAACATTGTCTCTCCCTAAAGGGGGTGACCGCCTCTGTGGTGTAGTGGTTAGAGTGTCCGCCTTGTGAGTGGAAGGTCCCGGGTTCGATCCCCGACCACGTCATACCAAAAGATGTTAAAATATGGTACTTGTTGTTCCCTGCCTGGCGCTCAGCATTAATGGGTACATCAAGGACATCAGTATAATGTGTCTGAGTAGGGTATTCATGCTTCAATGCGGCATGGTATCTCAGTGGGCTAGCACTATAAAACCAGTCTGGGCTAGTACAAGCAGCTGCACATACACATACACACACATGCACGTGATCATATGAGCGAAATATTCTGAAGCACGACGTTAAGCACAATTTCTCCTCACCTCACCTTAAAGGGGGGTGATAATTGTGCAGTATATTGGTTGTCCCTGCAACGCGTTTTGTGGCAGGTATTATTTTGGACTCTGTACATGGGTCTGCGCAAATTAGTCTTTTCCACAGCAGAACATCATAACCATTAAATATTTCTTCACCAAACTTGGCACATAGATAGGTCTGGTGGTGAACTAGTGCCTTTAGGTAGTCTTGGATTTCTGAATAAAATATATTTTGCGTTTCCATGGCAACAGGTTTGACTTTGACAAATTGGTGGTAGTACTCCTTTCCAGAGCAGAATTTTACAGCCTTCACCTGATGAAGGAGCAAGCCTATACTCCCGAAACGTAGTGTTAATCACAATAAAGAAGTTGACATCCATAAATATTTCTTTTGTTATGGGGCGGTGGGGTAGCCTAGTGGTTGAAGCGTTGGCTCGTCACACCGAAGACCCAGGTTCGAATCCTCACATGGTTACAATGTGTGAAGCCCATTTCTGGTGTCCCCCGCAGTGATGTTGCTGGAAAATTGCTAAAAGCGGTGTAAAACCAAACTCAGTCAGTCAGTCTTTTCTTATGCATTCCACTTCTAAATGCCCTTCAAAGATTTGATTGATGACTTTGTCTTCTTGTTGTCATTATTTAACTTTAACCAGTTAAATTTAGTCATTTTCTTCTGGTAAACATTTGTTCTTTATGCTTATCAGTCTGTCTTTTGTCTTCAAAATATATAGAGAAAAGGTTGTTGGCCATTTAGTAACCTTTGACATCGCGAGGCTCTCGCAATGCACCGATAACTATTACAATCGGAAATCGGATCACTCAGGGCTGATAACATCTTTGCTGAGGAGAAGTTAATCAGAGACTAGTTGGAAAGCCATGGGATTTTTTATAGTTTGAACTCTAGCCTTTGGTTTTAAGTTAGTTATTGAAATGGATTTTTGTTCCAGATGAAGGTGTCTAACCTTGTGGACAAGACTCCTGCTCACACAGGGAAACAGCTCACTGTGACCACATTTCTAGGAAGCAATCAGGAGAAGACACTGACCATTGACAGCCAAGGAATGGCCACCACAGACTTTGACATTCCTCCCAGTTATACGAATGATATTCATTTTACGGTATGTAATCACGTTTTGTCACCTTTTCCTGATGTCATGGTTACCTACACTTGTGTCTCTACAAATAGTGACAGAATTCTGGTTAAACATTACTATGGCAGCCATATTAAAATGTACATTTTGCCACATGTGTACCCTTTGATCTGTTGGGTGGAGCATCTTCACAGATCATGGAAGGTCAGTGATTCGATCCCGAATGGTATTTGCTGTTACCAGGGAGACTTGTTCGCTCGGAGTCTGTAGACGAGTGTGAATGGGTATTCTTTAGAACTGTGGGGTCAGATGGGAACTTCTATAAAACCACTGGAGATGTGTGTCACTATGAGGGCATCTCAACATCCATACAAAGTATATTCATGTTGCTGTGTAATTGAGGTACAGTCAAATCCCGATGAGTCGAATCGCTGGGGACCAAGTAATAAATTCGACTTATCGATGTTTTCGAGACATAGGTATGTCTATGAGGGTAGAAAAAAAAATGACATTAATGTTTGTTTCTGTGAATTTCCCTTACATTTATCTACAAATTCGCAGACGCTTGCCAAGTGGGAAAAATGTTCATTGTTTGTACCTGGGACTGACTCGAGAAATTCCTCCGCCATGATATACAGATCATGAATAGTAATAACCAAATGAGAGCTGCTATATAACGCAACCGATTTGATAGAGTTAACTCAATGTCATGTGCTAATTCTTCCGTTTCCATAAAATCACTAATCTGCCTTTTGAACTCACCCGACAATAGCGGAAAGGTGCGAGCCGAGCTGGTTTGTTAATTGGATCAGTTAGCAACACCAATTAACTTCTCATTGACTGGGGCAGTGGGGTAGCCTAGTGGTTAAAGCGTTGGCTCGTCACGCCAAAGACCCGGGTTCGAATCCCCACATGGGTGCATTGTGTGAAGCCCATTTTCTGGTGTCCCCCACCGTGATATTGCTGGAATATTGCTAAAAGTGGTGTAAAACCAAACTCAGTCAGTCAGTCTCATTGACTGACTTCGGCTTATGTATACAAGATTACTGTTGTTTGAATCTCATGGGACCAAATTTTCTTCTCGAGTCATCGTGTGTATTTATGAGACGAATTCGTGTAACCGGTAATCAAATGATGACAACTATAACAGGGAATGGTCGGGACCGACAGGTACTTCGAGTTATGCATAATTTCCGAGACACCGGCATTCGACTCATCGGGATTTGACTGTATATTCGAATGCAACGAAAAGTCATTTCACCATCCTTGTTTCAAGTCATGTACAGTCAGGTCATGTCGGAAGTATATGAACAGTACTATCAAATACTCTATCTGGCAGTCAAATATTCTTGTGAATACTATGCCTCTTTTACATAGACGCCATTAAAACAGGAAGAAGTCCTCTTCACTTTTAGCTAGTCATAACTAGTTGCGCATTAGTAATAGTATCTCTGTTCCAAAACGTCTGGACATGCACAGACATTCCACAGTTGTTTCCAGGGTGTGCTACTTGACACCAGAACATAATTCTTACTCATCATAGTAACGCATGGCCTGCAAAATCAGTATTTGGAGCAATGATGTGTTGGACAATGGAGGTGTTATTCTTTGAACTGTCAGTGATGTTAACTATTGTTTCATGTTTGAAGCATCAAACAATGTTACCATTTTTTCTTTGTTTCTTTAGTGGCGGTGGGGTAGCCCAATGGTTAAAGCATCCACTCGTCATTCTGAAGACCCAGGTTCGATTCCCCACATGGGTACAATGTGTGAAGGCCATATCTGGTGTCCCCCACAGTAATATTGCTGGATTATTGCTAAAAGCAGCGTAAAACCATACTCAATGGAAGGTCCAGTGATTTGATCGAATGGTATTTGCTATTGCCAGGGAGACTTGTTAAAACGAGGTCTGTAGACGAGTGTGAATGGGTATTCTTTAGAACTGTAGGGGTCAGATGGGAACTTCTATAAAACCACTGGAGATGTGTGTGTGTCCACTATGAGGGCATCTCAACATCCACATTACAAAGAATATATATTCATGTTGCTGTGTAATTGAGGGTACAGTCAAATCCGATGGAATAGATATGAAAACAGGGACCAAGTAATAAATTCGACTTATGCGATGTTTTTCAGACATAGGTATGTCTATGAGGGTAGAAAAAAATGGCAGTAATGTTTTGTTTCTGTGAATTTCCCTTACATTTATCTACAAATTAGCATGGCGCTGGCCAAGTAAGGAAAATGATGTTCATTGTTTTGTACCTGGGACTGACACCGAGAGATTCCTCGCCATGATATACAGATCATGAATAAAGTAATAACAAATAGGAAGAGCTGCTATCCCCACAGTAATATTGCTGGATTATTGCTAAAAGCAGCGTAAAACCATACTCACTCACACACTCTTTGTTTTTTTCCAGGCTCGTGTTGTTGGTGTGGATGGTCTAAGTGAAAGTCACCAGGTTAAAGAATACAGAACCAAGCTGAACACCGTCCTGTCTTTGGAGGTGTCAACTACTCAGGTAACAGACACCTGCTTTTCACCTGCTGACACTGTTAACAAAGCAAGGTGCTGTAGCAGTCATAGGTTTGGCACAAGTCAATGATCTTGGGTTCAACCTTGGATTACACTGGTCGTGTTTCTATCTCTACCAGCACCATATTCGTATGTCTTCATGGATTACACGAAAGGTGTGATCCATCCTGATCGAATCTCTGCAGAACTTCTTCCTTCATCAAGTTGACACATAGCGATGTATCTAAAATACTGTTCCAGGTAGTGCCAGACTAAAACACTCACTCACTCTGTGTTCTGTAACTGAAGGAGGCTTTGTTTCATAATTACCATACGTCGCTGCATGTAAAGTGGCGCCATGTATAAGTCGACACCCTTTGGAAACCTTAAAAATCGATGCTAATGTATCTACGCCATCTCTTAAGCATCCCAGAACACAGATGATTTAAAAGCATTTTAGTTGACACCCTTAGATTACAAAGGGCATCTACATTCCCAAAGACAAAATATACAGATCTAAAACGTTACAAAACAACAATATTTTGGGGATATTTTCTGTAGCTGAACCCACAGTTTTCTACCCAAGCATCAGCTAATGGAGGGTGTTATCAGTGCAGTAAAGCAAGCTGATAAACTTTGTGTCCAAATCTGATAACTATGCAAATTACGTCAATCCACATACTACTTCACAAAACTCTTTACACACCTTGCGAATCCTAAAATGTTAACATTAAATTGATGAAGTCATCGCGAATTTACATTGCGTGGACGAGTTTGTAAACAAACATGGCTGCTCCCATTATCAAAATTGGTGATTCTGTAAGAATTGATGACAGAGGTTCTGGAGTCGTTACTGCAGTAATTGACTTTGGAAAACATGAAACTGAAGGTTTGGATTGAAGGCACGGATTACGGGGCACGAGTCAAAAGGTGATCGTCTAAGAAAGGTACCACCCAAGGATTTCAATCTATCAATCACAATTACAGATGACAAATCGATTCCGTCAGGTTTCAGAAACTGATATTGATGAGGTGATTACCCGCAATGAAAATAGAAACACTGCCAGGAAAACCCTGCCGATTTTGTTTTTTTTAGACACAAAGATCTTATTTTAAGCATGAGTTCTGTTTGCACTGTATAGCGACTAGTCACAACCATATCATTTATGCCACTGTCATGAATGACCTTCACCTTGGTGTACCTCTAAGTATTCTTATGCAAATGCTCAATTCTCTTCGTATAAATTCACGTACGATTTGCTTCTTGTTTTAGAGTAATTTCAAGAATGACATTATATGATAAAGAGATTAATAACCTTGTGTCTTTCTGTATCATTAATATCATATATTAGGAATGGGGTATTCATGCTTCACTGCGGCATGGTATCTCAGTAGGCTAGCACTATAAAAACAGCTTCAGTCTGAGCTAGTACAAGCAGCCGCACATACACATACACACGCATACGCGTCGTCATATGGTAGAAATATTCTCAAGCATGACGTTAAACCCAATTTCACCTCACCTCACCTCACCTCACCTCACCTCACATACCAACATGATGTGATTACATTGTTTCACACTACACAACATGCATGGGTTTAAGTTAATACAATAGTTACATTAAATGTGCTCGGATGATTATTAAACCGGTTTAAGAAGAATCCGTCATGATATAGCTTCCCTACATAAGTTATATATTCGTCATATATATAGTAAGTAGACTATATCATGTCTACTTTACCAGAAACAGTAGCAATAAAACACCTTTATACTTTTATGTATGCATATCAAACAGATATCTGTGGGGTCGGCTTATCTACGGTAATATACGGTACTGGTTAACACATTAAAACACAATATACAACAGTACAGATGGAGTACTAACCTTGGAAATATACACAGGTGAGCTGATGTCCAGTTACTTTAGAAACCTTTCCCTGTAGTGTAGGGCTGCTTACTGCTCAAATGCATGCTTCAGTTGTATTGTAAGATAGGGCAACCACATCTAAGAATGCTAAAATAACCATATTTAATTACATAAAAACAGGTACATCTTCAACTAGCAGCACCTACTAAGATAAAATATAACACTGTAACCCCAAAATACTACACTGCCACACTAGCAATACACTAGATTTTTCCTTATCCAGACTCCTGCTATATTGGTTATAACCCTTCTCCTTTTGATGCGTTTTGGCGGAAGATAAGGGAGGCAACTCCAGTGTGAGTGATTGTTCGCTTCAGGAAACTAAAAGGGATTCAAGTTTCCACTTAACCGTCGAAAGGAGAAGGGTGATAAGCAATTAAGCATGAGTCAGGATAAGTATAAAATATCAATTTTAATCTAAAAATTACATTTATCATCAATATATTACTGATTTTGAAGTAAATGAACATTGTAAACAAAAGCATTTTGTTCATTTGGAGAGTAGGATCATTTTGATCACCATTTTATGTTGTTGTGTATATTTTGCTTCTGGTGCCTCGCTGACTTCTGGTTGAACTGACATGAAACTCAGACACTGTTTTAAAGTCTGTCCGTCCTCCGTGTTATGATGCAGAGTTATAGTATGCCCCAAGTGACATTTGCTGGGCATAAGAAGTTACTAGTTGATCATGTCATCATTTCTGGGACTCTGTTGACAGCATGGCATCATGCCCTGCTAATAGTAGCATAAACCACGTCATTGTCAGGTCCAACATTGTCTAACTTTACACACCAAACAAGTTTTTTTCTTATTCAGGCAATTGAGGTGGGCAACAGCTTTGACATAGCTATCAAGTCCACCGCCACACTGAGACATGTTGCCTATATGGTGAGTAGACATATATTGATGGGGTATAAAGCACATGGTATAAGGCAATAAAGATAACATTACTATAGGTGTTACAGAATGTGTCAGACAAGGGTGTGCTCATATTGCTAGATGTGTTACAACATCCATTAGACAATGGTGTGGTCGCATGGCTAGATGTGTTACAGCATCCGTTTAACAAGGGTGTGGTCACATTACTAGATGTGTTACAACATCCGTTAAACAAGGGTGTGGTCGCATTACTAGATGTGTTACAGCATGTTAAACAGCATTGCTAGATGTGTTACAGCATCCGTTAAACAAAGGTGTGGTCACATTGCTAGATGTGTTACAGCATCCGTTAAACAAGGGTGTGGTCACATTACTAGATGTGTTACAGCATCCGTTAAAAGGTGTGGTCACATTGCTAGATGTGTTACAGCATCCGTTAAACAAGGGTGTGGTCACATTACTAGATGTGTTACAGCATCCGTTAAACAAGGGTGTGATCACAAAGGTGTGGTCACATTGCTAGATGTGTTACAGCATCCGTTAAACAAGGGTGTGGTCACATTGCTAGATGTGTTACAGCATCCGTTAAACAAGGGTGTGGTCGCATGGCTAGATGTGTTACAGCATCCGTTAAACAAGGGTGTGGTCACATTGCTAGATGTGTTACAGCATCCGTTAAACAAGGTGTGGTCACATTGCTAGATGTGTTACAACATCCATTAAACAAGGGTGTGGTCGCATTACTAGATGTGTTACAGCATCCGTTAAACAAGGGTGTGGTCGCATGGCTAGATGTGTGACAGCATCCGTTAAACAAGGACTTTCCAGATACTGATGCCATTAAAAATCATTTATCTCAGAAATAATAAGGTTATGGCTAAATGTTCTCAATCGTTCATGGTGATTGTAGTAGACACATATGAGTTTCAAAATGTCAACAGGTACTTGCTCGAGGTGTCATAGTAGAAGGAGGCAAGCTGAATATGCCTGGGACAGGATTGACACACACGCTAACGGCCACTAGACCTATGTCACCAATGGCCAAGGTCATAGTGTATGGAGTTGTGGACAATGGAACAATGTCAGAGATCATAGCCGATTCAGAAGACATTGAAGTGTCCAGTGTCTTTGATAATCAGGTGAGTATGAGACAGGTACAGGTACAGAATCATATGTTGCTGGTAAAATGTGTGTTGTGACAGAATGTTATTCTCAGAGGTACGTCTTCCAGTACGCCAAACTGAAACAGGGCCACGGTCTCCCAAACACACTGTAGTAGGAACAGCATTCACTGATGTGTTCACGTTTGCAAATTTTCACTTAATGATATTGATGAAAGCTATGCCAAGTCGAATATCCCTTCCACATGAGACATCATTTATGTGAAATCAAGCAATGATATTTCAGCACAATTCTTTGAGAACAAAGAGATGTCATGAGTTACCAAGTCTCAAAGAAACGACATCACTAAAGATGTAGAAGCTGTTTAGTTGTACTCATTACAAGGATGACACTGTTTACAAACTGAAATAGTTGGAAGAAGGATTTTGATAGTAAATAGATATTTTTAATGTGGCATATGTCAATGATTGTAGACAAAACTCTAAGACTCACAAGCTTGCAGATTCTCTGTATGAATGAGGACACCCCTTGAGCCCAGCCAGTAGTTAAGTGCTATGTGTTGATTCAGGTCGGACTGCGCTTCTCGGCGGATACGAGGAGAGCAGGTACAGCTGTTGACCTAACCATTACCTCCGCACCCAACAGCAAGTACTACCTTCTAGCTGTGGACAAGAGTGTGCTGCTCCTGGGCACCGGCAATGACATCACACAGGGCGATGTAAGTACATATCTGTACAACATCAACAACAGACATGGATTCGGGAGAAATCATTGTTGTCAGTCACTGCATCACTTTAACTGCTGATTGATGTTTTATATGCCACAGACAAGTTATTACCTGGTATAGACAAACAGGTGTACATGGTAAATGTACCTAGATCCATAGATTCTCCAAAACTTGAAAAACATTATTAATGTTTTAGTTGGCCACATTTTGAAAAGCTTACAACAACTTGAATCTGATGCTGGTATTTTTGAAAAATAGTCATGCTTCAAACATATTCATTGTTTCATTTACTTTGGTGGCCTGCATTTGAATGCATACATAGAGATACAGGCAATTCACACAAAACTGTAAACATTTTGTTTTGAAAATATCAACATCAAAGCACTATAAGTAACTGTTACTGATGTATATGCGGGCTGTGGGGTAGCCTAGTGGTTATGGCGTTCACTCATCATGCCCAAGACCCAGGTTAGATTCCCGACATGGGCACAATGTGTGTAGCCCATTTCTGGTGTCCCTTAATTGATATTGCTGGAATATTGCTGAAACTGGCCTAAAACTAACCTAACTCAGTCTCTGATGTATGTAAGTGACGACATTTGAAATGTTGCTTCAATTTAAAGAACAAAGTTATCTGCAAACAAATAAAGACCTGCAAATGAATCAATTTCTCTATACCCTTTGTTAACACGACTTTCATATGCTTTGATGGGTGATGGGTTAGCCTAGTAGTTAAAGTGTTCGCTCTTCATGTTAAACACCCAGGTTCAATTCCCAACATGGGTACAATGTGTGGAGCTGTTTCTGTTGTCTCCCACTATGATATTGCTGGAATATTGCTAAAAGTGGTGTAAAACAATAATTACTCATTCACTCATATGCTTTGTACAGGTGATCAGTGGTTTTCACAAGTTGGGCATGGGGACACTCCTAGCCAAAACGAGGGACAGCCTGAGATGCTGGGTGATGTGATCATGCCCCGCTGGGAGGAGGAAGTGAATCTGACCTGCCCACCAGTGCTGGAGAAGTACTCAAGGTCAGTGCTGATGGTCACAGATTATGTGCTGTCCATTAAGTCCCCCACAGCTAGACTCAGGTGAACTTGTAGTCTAAGCGAGGAATCATACCACAGAAATAATGTCTGCCTGGTACGAGCAATTATTTTTCTCTTGTTCAGACTGGTGATGGAGATTGTCAGTAATACACGGTCGTCCTTAGCAATGTAAGATCATCTGTAGCATGTTGAGGTGACAAATGTCGAGTGTTTCACTCTAATGCTTCAGCTTCCACTTAATGCTGGACTTCAGTCTATTAAGCTGAATACTCTTATAACACTCTCTTTGATTCATTATGGGTTCTCCGACTGCCTGTTCACCTGAGCCTAGTGCCCCTTTTTGTGTATTTCCTACAGTGTAACTGTCTATGTATACTATGGTACCTATGTTATATGAATTTTTTTTCAAAGTAAATTGTTGTCTGTGTTTTGCCGATAAAATGCATTATGGTGTGTGCAGTATTTCTGTTGAATATGAAATTGCTATTGATCAGAACTTTGTAATGTTGAGTCAGTGCTCCTGTGAACATGAGTGGTAAGAAAGTTGAGAGAGATGCAATACAAGGTTGATCCACGGATCACAGTGACGTCTGCTACATCTGGCCAGTTCCTGTCTATCAGGACCAATACGTAATTTCCATACGGGCACCATTGGCTGCTTTTTGGTTTTTCCAGAATTGATGCTGTTGCCATGTTTTGATTTCCCAAACATGATCTGTCCATTTAACCTAATGCACCTCCTGTGCTGATTTGACCACTGTGACTCAATTCCATTTAGCCTAATTTTTCAGACTGTAATATGATGCCATTTTGTGTACAGTGACATCTTGTTAATCCAGGCCCTGGTAGAAACACGTGTGTTGATTAGCAGGGCTTCACTGTGCAACATCTGAAGGTGGGACTCGGGTTACCCACTGTATTAGGTCATGCCATGTGAAACCCCACCTGACCTCTTTGTACGGTCCAAGTCCCAATGCTCCCATTTCAAAACATGATGCCTTCAGTCAGGAGTATTTAATTCATGATAGAACAAGGATTCTGTCGCCAGTCCTGTCATGTATCAACGTGAAACACTTACTAAGTGTCCAAAGTAGTGGTCAAAAACAGCAAACCAAACGTTAGCTGAAATGGAGGCAAGAGAAGTTGACTGAAGTTGCGTTTTGAGAATCTCCTGACAAGATTTCATTCAATTGTCTCAGATATTAGTTGGGGATTGTGTGTCTGATTTGAAAATGTGTTGCTGTGTTGACAAGTTTTGAGCGTCAAGGAAAAGGTGTGAAAGGGGTGCTAGCACTGTTGTGTTGTTGTCACTGTGTCTTTATAACAATGGCTGTGAAGGATGTTTAGCATCCGTTTACTGTTGTATCAAAGCAGTCAGAGTTATAATGTGGGTGAAATGCCTGAAGTGAATGAGTTCAGCTATAGTGCAGCAAAGAACCTTTGAGCACTATTGCAGCTAACGGAGATAACTGATGAACCCTTGGTGATATTTCTGAGTAACGTTTCTTCATTCATTGCTCCATGTAGAAGCAGGACTTGGTGTACATGACAGACATTGTTGTAGAAGAGGAGGCTCCACCCCCTGTGTATTACTATGACGACATGGATGCTTTTATGTTTGATGGTGAAATGGATGTAGACAGTAATATCCTGTTCTTTTATCAATGAATGGTGCATGGGAACAGTTTAATGGTACCCACAAGAGTTGTAACCATCTGTCACACCTAAACATTTTGCATGCAATGCATGTAAAGCATCACATGCTGTCATGACACTTCAGAAAGAATGATGAAATGCCTTTGCACAAAGTACATCAAAAAGCTGATGCTTCAGGCAATAGTTCCAACTCTTGTGGTTAGGTTTGCAAGTATGTGTGCATTGTGATGTTTTGACCTGTGTTGTCTGTAATAACCATCTCTAGCTCACCTAAACAACCCTTCACTTCTAGGGATTTGTTGTTTTCGTCACAGGAAACATTTAGTTCTGTGTTTCATTCCTGTTGTGTCACTTTCCATTCGTAGTTTGAATTTATTTATGGATTTCATCTTCTTTAATTTGTCAAAACAAACATAGGGCACAGATGCTAGTTCCTTACCCAGCAAGTCGGACTGGTAGTTCCTTACCCAGCAAGTCAGACTGCTGGAAACTTACCCAGCAAGTCTGACTGCTAGTACCTTACCCAGCAAGTCTGACTGCTAGTACCTTACACAGCAAGTCTGACTGCTAGTACCTTACCCAGCAAGTCTGACTGCTAGTTCCTTATAAAGCAAGTCTGACTGCTAGTACCTTACCCAGCAAGTCTGACTGCTGGTACCTTACCTAGTACCTTATACAGCAAGTCTGACCTTAGTCAAGTCTGACTGCTGAGTTACCCAGCAAGTCTGACTGCTAGTACCTTACACAGCAAGTCTGACTGCTAGTACCTTATACAGCAAGTCTGACTGCTAGTACCTTATACAGCAAGTCTGACTGCTAGTACCTTATACAGCAAGTCTGACTGCTAGTACCTTACCCAGCAAGTCTGACTGCTAGTACCTTATACAGCAAGTCTGACTGCTAGTACCTTATACAGCAGGTTACCCAGCAAGTCTGACTGCTAGTACCTTTACTAGTACAGCAAGTCTGACTGCTAGTTCCTTATACAGCAAGTCTGACTGCTAGTACCTTATACAGCAAGTCTGACTGGTAGTACCTACAGCAAGTCTACTTATACAGCAGGTCTGACCTAGTACCTTACACAAGTCTGACTGGTAGTACCTTATACAGCAAGTCTGACTGGTAGTACCTTATACAGCAAGTCTGACTGGTAGTACCTTATACCCAGCAAGTCTGACTGGTAGTACCTTACACAGCAAGTCTGACTGGTAGTACCTTATACAGCAGGTCTGACTGGTAGTACCTTATACAGCAAGTCTGACTGGTAGTACCTTATACAGCAAGTCTGACTGGTAGTAGTCTGACTGCTAGTACCACAGCAAGTCTGACTGCTGGTACCTTATACAGCAAGTCTGACTGCTGGTACCTTACCCAGCAAGTCTGACTGGTAGTACCTTATACAGCAAGTCAAACTGATAGTACCATATCCAGCAAATATGACTGCTAGTACCTTATCCAGCACATCTGACTGGTTGATGAATGTTGAAGTATCCCGATGCTGGATGGTCAACCTCACTGACTCGGTTGATGAATGTTGTAGTATCCCAATGCTGGATGGTCAACCTCACTGACTCGGTTGATGAATGTTGTAGTATCCCAATGCTGGATGGTTAACCTCATTGACTCGGTTGATGAATGTTGTAGTATCCCAATGCTGGATGGTCAACCTCACTGACTCGGTTGATGAATGTTGTAGTATCCCAATGCTGGATGGTCAACCTCACTGACTCGGTTGATGAATGTTGTAGTATCCCAATGCTGGATGGTTAACCTCACTGACTCGGTTGATGAATGTTGTAGTATCCCAATGCTGGATGGTCAACCTCACTGACTCGGTTGATGAATGTTGTAGTATCCCAATGCTGGATGGTCAACCTCACTGACTCGGTTGATCGGTGTGATGAATGTTGTAGTATGACTTCGGTTGATGAATGTTGTAGTATCCCAATGCTGGATGGTCAACCTCACTGACTCGGTTGATGAATGTTGTAGTATCCCAATGCTGGATGGTCAACCTCACTGACTCGGTTGATGAATGTTGTAGTATCCCAATGTTGGATGGTCAACCTCACTGACTCGGTTGATGAATGTTGTAGTATCCCAATGCTGGATGGTCAACCTCACTGACTCGGTTGATGAATGTTGTAGTATCCCAATGCTGGATGGTCAACTCCCGATGTTGGATGGTTAACCTCACTGACTCGGTTGATGAATGTTGTAGTATCCCGATGTTGGATGGTCAACCTCACTGACTCGGTTGATGAATGTTGTAGTATCCCAATGTTGGATGGTCAACCTCACTGACTCGGTTGATGAATATTGTAGTATCCCGATGTTGGATGGTCAACCTCACTGATTTCGGTTGATGAATGTTGTGTATGTAGTATCCCAATGCTGGATGGTCAACCTCACTGACTCGGTTGATGAATGTTGTAGTATCCCAATGCTGGATGGTCAACCTCACTGACTCGGTTGATGAATGTTGTAGTATCCCAATGCTGGATGGTCAACCTCACTGACTCGGTTGATGAATGTTGTAGTATCCCAATGCTGGATGGTCAACCAACCTCACTAGTATCCCGATGTTGGATGGTCAACCTCACTGACTCGGTTGATGAATGTTGTAGTATCCCAATGCTGGATGGTCAACCTCACTGACTCGGTTGATGGATGTTGTAGTATCCCAATGCTGGATGGTCAACCTCACTGACTCGGTTGATGAATGTTGTAGTATCCCATTGTTGGATGGTCAACCTCACTGACTCGGTTGATTAATGTTGTAGTATCCCAATGCTGTAGATACACATGCTTAAGATGTCAATCACTGGATGATCTGGACTGGAATATCATCATATATGATGGGTTTTCAAGCAAACAAACACACCAGTTATCAGTTCCATCTGAGATGGAAAAAGATGAGGACCTATGGATCTATGACAATTTAAAGCATTGCCAGTGCCAAGAAGGATAGACGTGGGGAATCAATGAGACTCAACCCAAACATCAATTATGTTTCCATGGGGTATCAAAGACCCAGGACTCCTGGCAATCACATGTATTAACCACAGCCTGATCCCTCAAGAACAACTCATCAAGGCATTTTCTGCAGCATGTCCACAATCTGATATCATTTAGATAGTTTCAAGTCATTTCAGGTGTTTTTCTATTGTCTAGAGATTGGGTCTGGTGTATATGACTGACCTAGTCGTGGAGAAGAAACACAAAGCACCTGTGATCATGTGGGCAATGGCTGACAATGAAGTGAGAAGAGGTAATGATGGTTCTGTTTATAGAAACCTGGCATTGAATCCTGGACTCAAGAAATGCTCACTGAATGTCATAAGGGAGACATGTGCATAATCAACACAGTTATTGGTGTCAGTTTTCTTAATTTTGTGGAGACTAGATTCTTATCATCAATATATAGGAACGAGCAGAAAAATGCGACAAAAAACTTTATTCTGTAGACTCAATCCTACTATCCAAAAAGCCGAAATACATTGTTTCTAGCCGCCAGTAGCTTGCCTCGTTGGTATGGAATTATCTCCCTTGGGTTCAGGGATGGCTTGATCACGTGACCTTGTTGCTAGCAGACGATACCGAAGCTTTGCCATGACGTTACAAAACAACAGAAATCGACTCTTGGCATATTATGAAGCAGGTATTACATCCATAACTAGACTTGTGAAACGGGACTGCATTTGGCCTCTGTTTACCAAAATTTGAAGAAATTTGACACAGGGTTAGTGACAGAGCAACAGGCTGGATCGGGACGTCTTGCTACTCTTGGGGCAAATGATAGACGATGTATCTCGCGTCTCGTGGCGGCGTACCCAAACTGGTCTGCAAAACAGCTTGCCGTGAAGGCGTCAAGTCAAGGAACCCCTAAGGTATCAGAATGGACAATCAGAAGATCTTTAAAGCAATCTGGATATGTCAAGCGAGTGCCGAAGAAAGTTCCATTAATGACAACAGCACATATGGAGAAAAGGCTCGAGTGGTGCAGGGAAATGCAGGGTTCAGACTTTTCAAATGTGATTTTTATGGACGAATCAAAGTTTCAGTTTTATATGATCACAAGAAAGAGGTGGTCAAGAGGTGGACGTAGCTGCAAAATGGTTCCGAAGTTCTCACCCAGTGTCATGGTTTGGGGTGGTATAGGCAAAGTCAGGGTAACACCGCTGCTAACTATTACAGAAAGGATTGATTCACACAAGTACTGTCAACTTATACAAGAAGGCATAGTGGAATCCCATATAGGACAGAGTGGAATACCTTTCAAACTTTTACAGGACAATGCACCTGTACACAAGTCAAGACACACCTGTAACTGGTTTGAAACAAGTCACGTGACCTTACAGAAATTTCCAGCGGCATCACCAGACCTGAACCCAATTGAAAATGTGTGGCAGATTATGAAGGACAAATTAGAAAAGTTGGAACCGAAGAGTGTCGTTGACTGGTCTAATCTCATCAGTCAAATATGGGTGGGCCTACCCCAGGACTACATAGACAATTTGATTGACAGCATGGGACGCCGTATTCAGCAGTCCATCGAGAGAAACGGTGGACTAACAGACTATTGACTTGCATAAATGTAAACTTCAGTATCCAGAGTGGATGTATGAAAAATATAACCGAATTTATCAGTAAATAAATTTTGAAACTACGTCTGTGAAATGTCGCAATTTTTCTGCTCGTTACTGTATATACTGTTCATATAGCATGTGCAAGATATTTCCAGGGGGGTTAGGGTGAAATTATTTCTCCTGAGATCCGAAATGGAAAAAGTGAATTTACAAACCCTGGTAAAGAGAACCTACATATTGAGACTGGTGTATGTGTTATGTATTTTGTTTGATGAAGGGAAATGGTTAAGTATTGTGGTGGTGGGTGGAAGATGCGAGAAACTGGTGTATGTGTTATGTATTTTGTTTGATGAAGGGAAATGGTTAAGTAGTGTGGTGGTGGGTGGAAGATGCGAG